TTGTTTGCATGCACGACCGTTATTATTTCTGACCGAGAACCTGCTGCATAAGCATGCCTAGTTAGAATGTTTCCCCAATAAAAACCGCGCATGCGCATTATTCACTCGACGACAAACAGTCTACCTACGGCAGATAGCTGCAAAGCTCAATGATGAAATCGATACAATTGCTGTATGAAACAAGAAGTAACAACAAAAGGGGAATGTAAATATAATTTACTTTGTACAACAGAATATTAAAAACCTATCAAAGTTTTTAAAAAGGTTTGACGTTAGGTCGTAGAATAACATTATAAGTTTATTTATCGATAGTATTAAGTACAGTAAAGTTTAGTCCTATGTCAGTCTTATTTATAGCAGTGATAAAAAGTAATTCAGAACAGTAAGATTTCTATTTTACAAATTTCAACTTTTAAACTCATTTCATGATCATCTTTATTGTATTCTAACATCTATTGTTTACAAGAACTTAATTTACACCTGTTCAAGTTTTTATTTTGTTAGGTATCACTTTATTATTTAGCGTTCATTTTTTTCAGATGAATAATCTTTCTTTATATGATAACCGGGTTGCTGTTTAGACATCTTGTTTTTTTATTAGTCTGTGTAAAATTTCAGTTCTAAGTAGTTTTTAGCTTCACACGTTCCACTTTCTCATATCTTGCAGTTTATTCAAATCGAACCTAGTATTCTACCAAGCTTAAGAAAGCCCCTGATCCAATCTAATGCTATTATATTGTATATTTTATTGTAATAACTTCAAAATTCTTTCACCATCCCTATAAAATCCAAATTTTACTTTTAAACAAACTGCATGGTGGAAAATATGTTTAATGCTATAATTAAAGCTCTTTGTAACAACAGTTCATCGTTTCTATGCCTGATGCAGGTTTTCTGTTCATGCTAAATTTTTGATTCACTAAATATCTACACATACTCAAATAACCAACTATATCATGTATTTGCTCGCTTCCTATTATGTGATATTATGTTACGACCACGCGATCTCCGATCTCGATTATAGTTGGAATAAAGTGATTTAAACTTTACCTAACTTATTTTAACTTATCGTCAGATTCTCTACTGGCGTGTGCGATAATGTTGTTTCGGGATCAGTTGAGATCCAAAATGCGCTGCGATAGGAGGTTTTTCGCTTCCGTAAGGAATATTACAGGTTAATTTTTTTAAAATAGTGTCCTGTTTTTCTTCAACCTTTAACAATCATGGTAAATATAAGCCTGTTTAGTATAATTCGCATATGTGGTGGAACTCCACAACAATAGCATAAGCAAAATGTTGTTACAAAGTGTAATAAACCCAGAGTTTGATAATGTAAACAACAAAAATTTGTATATTATTTAGAAGAAAAAAATCACTTTAAATGAACTGATGCTGGAAAAAACTATATTTTTGTCTAATATTTAAATAATTTGCAAGTTTTATATTATTTGCTTTAGGCGTTATAAAGTGAATTTTGACGTCATCTTTACTCTTCCTTTCATACATATGACTCTGTAACACCGAAGAATTGTTGCAAAATAATGGCAGTGCAGTTAACACCGAATACTAGATACACATTTTACCGATATAATTCTATGTATTATAGGTAAGTTATCTATAATCTAGATTGTCATATGTATTACTGCTTTTCTACGTATGTTAAAACTATAAAGTACTAGCATTATTCGTATATAAAAGTTATCAGAATGGAAGTTCGACCCCTGATATCAGTTGGTGGATGTTTCCTGATTTACCTGGCAATCGGTACACTACTAACGTTTGGAAACCTAACTCCTTACTTAACTTCCTACCTGAGACAAAGAGTCAAAAAGGACACAACATATGAAGAAACTAGCTGGATTTGCTATGCATTTATCTCTACATGTTCACTGCTTTATTTTGGAGGCAAACTAGGTTGTCTCATTGGACGTCGTTGGAGCATGATTATTGGTTCTTGTATTTTTTGGTAAGATTTACACTTATATATGTATTTAATAATAATAACTGATAAAAAGAATTCCAACAAGGTTATTAAATTCATGGATGTAAATAATTATAATATAAAATAACAATAAACCTGTAAATAAGCAAAGCCACAGTAACGTTGATATTAACACAGAGACTGTTAAGGCTTATGAAGTGATAATTTAAAAAAAATGTGTCGTCACTTTTTGTTTAGTTTATGTATTTTAGTATCCATATGTGTATGAAAATATAATCTTATATGCGCCTGTTTATGTATTTTGTGAAATAGCAACTTCTACTTTTATTTTGTTATGGTTTTATTTACCTTTCATTTATTATTACTTCTATCGTTTAGATCAGCTATGAAGGTTTAGTTTAATTATGTATATATAAGTATAAGTTTTAGTTTTATTCAAAGTGTTAACTCACCTTCTAGCGAGAGCACGTTGAATTTTAGTATGTATATGTTATGAAACTGACACGAGCTTCCCCTAGGAGTGACGTACAGATATTAATGTTTTGAATGATTACGTTAATTAGTTAGTCACACGAGATGTAGCCTGTAAAGAAAAACCCTGCCTTAAGCTTAAACAAGTTAGTTCACGAAATATAGTTAAAACAAATAATTGTTGATTGTTACTCGATATTGTTAATGATCTTGAAGCTCTTTCAGTTCGGAGTACTGTGGATTTTGGGGAATTAGGTTTTTTCTTCTAGTTCTTTTCCTGATTCCTCACAGCGGTATGTCTGCGAACTTATACTGCTAGAACAGTAGGCAGAACACAGAGAACTCTTTGTGTAGCTTTAATAACAAACAACCACATCCTGATTCTTTTATTTACTGAAGTTATTAGCATTGATATTTAAGTTCCATTGTTCATTAACGTTAGTAACAAGTCCTAGTCAGGTACGTATTTATTAACTATGTTTTTGGTATGTGATAAACTTTATGTTCCAAATGTTTGAAAGTTTTGAAACTTAGTTGAATGGAGGGCAACTGCCTGTTATAGAAATACAAGTCTTCCGCCTTTCGTCTTCATCTTTGTTTTGGATTTCTATGGTATTCAAAGTTTACTAAATTCGTTTCTTGTTTGTTTGTTTGTTTGTTCGACACTGATTGTAGCGGCTGTTTGTTTTAGTCAGTTACAACGTTAGAGTATGTATGTGTGTAGATATAATCCCATATGCCCCTGTTTATGTAGTTTATGTATGTTAGTGTCCATGTGCGCATCCAAAAATAACAAGTGTGATCCAACACACAAAAATTTGATTTCCAAGTAATAATTTGGAAGCTCTGTTTCCGACAGCAACAAAGTTCTTGAAATTGCCTTGTTCTAAAAACTTGATCCATATTTTCTGTGGATCCATTGTTATAAGGACTAATTGGACTTAAACAAACTTCAACCTTTTGCAAAGAACAAAGCAAATAGGAATGTAAGTTTGTAAGTTTAGTTCTACGGTTATGGACCAGACATACGTGTTGTTGTTGTTTTTTGTGTGCTTTTGGATGTCCAATCATGTAAGAAACTATTAGGCCTAAGTTATTGAGCAAATGTATTGTTTCAAGCTATATTTTCAATTTTTATGTAAATTTATATGATTGCTTGAAGAATCACATCGTTAAGATCGAGAGAGTTTGTGAAAGCTATGAATCGAGAAGCTTCGTGGAGTATCTAGAAACAAGAGCACGATATAAATATGAATAATCATTGATGATTAGTTCAGTTAGTTCAGAGTAGGAAAAATTATTCATTGATAGAATAAAGAATTATCGCATATTTTTTGATATTCAATTATTCGATCAATCAGCTGTGAAATACTACAAGTAACCTTATAAGTAACTTTGACTTTCATTCGTTTTGGAGCTTATGTTGAAAAGTCTATATAGCTGAAACTAGGCCTACAAGTGAGCATGGCTGTTAAAAACATTTATTAAAGAATTACATTTATCTGTTATCATGACATAGATTGAAATAATGCAAAATAGCCCACCTAATTATATAACACATTACAAATGGTGGTAGTTCTGGGATTCTTTAGTTGAAAATATAATATACGTTAGAGTAAACTTCAACTTTCAAGATGAAAACACGACGCAAGGCAGAAAATTTATTGGGAATGTATAATTTAACCTGATAAGGGAGAGTACGATGGAGACCACACGGAGCAGGTGACCATTTCTGTAAACCTGAATACCTATCAAGAACCCTGATAATGAAGTGGCTAAAAATGCTCTTGTAACAGTCATGGTAAGCCTAGCGTATAGACCTAAACTCTGTAGTACGTCCTGGGAGATTAACAGTTTTATGAGTTCCCTTAGACCCAAAAAATAAAAATTCATAATTGGGGCCTAAAACAAGAAACTATAAATTTCGAACCAAGTCTGGATGGGGCAGGTGAAACAATATAGGTAATACTTTCATTCGGAGAACATCACGTGTAGTCACCTTTTAGGTAAAATGTCAAATCCTTACATAAGGACAGCTAACCACTTCACTTACAAGAGCCATATGACCAGAGCTGTAGAGATATACCAGCTAATCAATTACGTGACTTGCTCAAAGAATACCAAGATAATTTCTTCAGCAGATCCTTATGGTTTAGGCCAAACAACTAAAATATCTCATAAGATTAGTAGTGGGAATTCAGCCCCAACATTTAAAACAGGCTGAGGCTTTCAAGGAACTAGAAATCATGAAGAAACCAGGAGAGATAGAACCAAGTACTAGTTCCTGGTAATCACCTATTATACTTCTGAAAAATTAAGATTGATTCACAAGGTTCTACATGGACTACCAGAGGGTGAATTAAGTAGGAGAAAGGACGCCTACGATCGGCTAGACATTTATTCTGTTATGAATGCTTTGTCGGGATGAAAATAGTTTTCAACATTGGATTTTAAGAATGGATATTGGCAAGTGAAAATCAATGAAGCAAGTAGAAAAAGATTGCCTTACTACAAAATAAAGGATTGTAGCAATTTGATAAAGCAGTGTGTCTGATATATCTTGTCGACTAACTGAGTGTGGTCTTTCGATCTACGCATGAACATTGTACTCATCTACTTAGATAATATAATCATATATCAGAAGACATTTGATGATGCTTATGAAAGTTCTGGATTGGTCGATGAAAGAGAACATTAAGCTGAATCCCAAGAAGTGTAAATTGTTCCGTCACTATATGAGTTTCCTGGGACACATTGTCAGCAAAGAGGGAGTGCCCAAAAATCCACATGAGATTGAATTTATTCATTATTGGCCAACCCCAAAGAACTTGTATGAGATTAGAGTATTTCTTGGACTATGCTTTTATTATCGGCATTGTCTAAAATCATTGTCTGACATAGCTCATCATTTACATAAATTATTCTAAAAACCAAATCCATTTTGTTGGAGTGCATATTTTGAACAAGTATTCAAGAAATTGGGGAATGAATTGATTACTTCTTTTGTATTAACATACCCAAATCTCGAAAATCCACAAATATTAGATGCAAATGCCGGTTATTTTATAATGATAATAGTTTTAACAGAAGTACAACATCACAAATAGCCAATAATTGTCTTCTAAAGCACGGCAATGAATGCTACAGAAAGGAGTTGTTTTATATCTTGGAAATACCTACTAAATGTTTTATGAGACATAAGTCATTTCCATTATTAGCTGTATAAACAAAAGTTCACACTTCGGCTAGATCATTCAGCATTGAACTGGTTTGCAATATTTCGCATTTCAGAAAGCTAGATAACAAGATTGCTCATTACATTTCAGAGAGTTTAACTAAGATTACACATCAACCTGGATGGAACATTGGAAATTCTGAAGATTCATCTCGAAAACCGTGTGTGAATAAAGAATGCAAACATTGTGAAAAGAGAAAACCACAAGATAATAAAAACAACCAACACCATCGTTACGTGGAATGGACTTGGAGTTATACATTTCAAAATAATCCAAAACAACACACCCAACGACTGAAGAAGTTACAACACCTTCGGGCAAGAAAAACAAAGATAATGCTGCGATATAGGAATATCAAAGGTGTTGGTACTGTATAACAAGATTAAAGATGGCGATGCTATAAATGGAGAACAAAGATGACTGTACTGTATATAGAAAATAAAAACGATTAGAAGGAAATCTAAAATAATGGTACTGTGTTGGTAGAGCAAAGATCAAAGTGATATAAAGAAGTAGTAGAGAAGTGGTAATGTTGCTTTTTCAGGTTTTTTTTCGAGATCTCAATAACAGCTCGACAGCTAATTTATTTTATGTTAATATGAGTGTAATGTGTCTGTAAATTCCTCAGTTCTCGTTCATAAGGTCGTGGTGTCTTTATTCACGTTATATATGTATAAAACAAAACATTTTTTTTATCTATTAGCTTTGGTATAGCAGTGACGTACTGGAGTATACAACATAGCCTTGTCGCTACCATAATCACTTATGGAGTGATTGCTTCCTTGGGCTTTGTCTGTTGCTTTGGTCATCCCGTAGTCACTGCTATAGAGGTGAGTACAATTGTTTCGAAAACATCTCATTATAGAAATATACTTACGAAAAACGAATGTTTAAGTTCATTTTCCAATCAGGTAAAAAGTATCACTTAACTATTTTATCTCAAGAACTAAAAACATCATATATATGATATATATATATACACACACATATATGAAAAACTGTCCTAGCTCTTGAAACTATATACATATCAACGTCCATAATATAAAATACCATTTAATACACAATTATTTAAGTCTTCGAATTCGAGGAAACTTTTGTAGTTCTTTAATTCAACTTTAAATTATACGTGTAGAAACTTTTATGAGTTATTATTCCCCTGGGAGTGCAGATACAGATGTCACTAATGTGTAGACTTGGTTTATTTTTATTTTACTCTAAACTTCTGTATAATTCATGTAAATCTTGATGTATTTCCTGATATAAATGCTGATCTTTGCCACTAGTTACTACACACTATATAGTTCATATAATATACGTCCAAGGTTATAAAATGATATAACATTATCTTGTCTATTTAAAAAGACACGTCAGAAAATAAATTCACAAATCTTTTCACAGTGGTTTCCAAACAAAAAAGGCCTCGTGACAGGGATATTGGCTTCAGGATTAGCTTTAACTCCTCTCTTTATGAATAGCATACAAACATTTTTTGTGAACCCTAGTAATCTCCAACCTGCTTCTGATGGGTAAGTTACAAGTTTCTATAAACTTACGTAGTGCTTCTAGAAATAAAACACAGAGTTTTATCATACCTTAATTTTACTTTTTCTTCAAAATCATCAACATCCTTGTTTCTTTTCGCTTTAGGAATAATATTTTCATTGTATTTGTCACAAATGTTTAGAATATCTTGGAAGAAAATAGTCTAGGTTTTATCTTAATATATAATTCACATTATTGTTTGAAATCAGTGCTGATTACACAGGCCTGCGATGGTTTTATTGTCTTGAAATTTTTACAGTAATTTCTGTACGCTGAATCCGAAAATTTTCTCCATCACGTACATATTTTTCACAAAACATCACAACACGTAGTTTTGAGACTAAAAGACGTAGATTTCACAGAAAACATCAGGATGAATGAGGATGTATATTCGGTTGACATCAATGTTCTTTCCTTTTCTTCAGTCTGTTTATGTTTTTGTTAACAAACACAATAATAACAAATGTTCATTGTGGTAAATGAAATAATAATTTGATCAAAGTAACAGTTTTTCTTTCCGATTTGTAAACAAAAAATCCTTACGTGTACAAAAAAAAATTAATATTATTTTCGTAATCCACGTAGCTGAATTATGGAAAATCCGTTAATTATACCAAAACAACTTTTATGAAGTTTAAATTCGCAGGCTTGCGTTATTTTAGAGTGTTTATGAAATAAAATTTTTACATTACCTAAGATAAAATCCTTAGAAAGCACCTTTTAAGGCCTAATGTTACAATTATGAATAAATAAAGTTCTTAGGTTTTAGTGATTTCTTAAAGAAGTATTTCATAACCTAAAGAAAACTCTTTGAAGTTTCTACAATAGTTTTATAGGGTTATATGTCATACATGGTTCTTTTATTAAATCCATGGAATTTGGAAATGTTAAATGGTAGCTGTTGAAATTGGATGGATAATGTTTTAACTACCAAACTGTAGGAAAGTATTCTAAAAACACATAGGGACTTGAAGGGAATTAAAGCTTTCATTACTCATGAGTTGCATCTATTATTATTTCATTGTTTGTAGATAAGTACAAAGTTACACAATAGGCTATCTCTGCTGTGTCCATCAGGGGTATCGAAACTCTGATTCTAGCGTTATACTTACTGCTGTTCAGCATCATCAATTAAATTAATTCATAAACCAATTTACTGAGTAAACTCTCAATATTTTTTTCAGGTTTTTTTACAACAATGTAATTATAGAACGTGTTCCTGTTTTGTTTCTGATAATGGGAAGTGTTATTGGTGGAATTCTATTGATTGGGCTGCTTATGTACCAAGAACTACCAAGAGAGTCATACCAGGTTAGAGGAACTGGATTAAAAAAAAGTTTACTAATGATATTTAAGACAACAAAATAAGTCCGTATCATATCACCTGAATAAGTCTGACTTATTTGTATTATTGGTACCAGTTTTAGTTAAAGCGAGCTGGGATTCTTTTAGTCTTAATAGTAATATGATTATGATGAATATAAACTCAACAACATTTAATAAATAAGTCAGTTAGAACTATACATATTAAACCTGTGGAAATATATATCTTCTTAAAAATGGTATGTTCTAAAACTTGATCTTTTAACATCTACTGGTGTGCCCGTAGGTTAGATATTGAATACAAACCTAGATGTTTGATAAAAATATAAATATGAGTAACATGGAAGATAATTAACTTCTAATTATACCAAAAGATAAAATTTTGTGATATAGCGGTAAATGAGAAATATGTGTTCCAAATAGAGTTTTTAAATAATACCGATTTTGCTTTTTTCTTCTCCAAGATTACGATTGCTTTTGATAATAAGTGTAGTGTTACTTTATTGTTCAGTAGAAATCTTGACATCTCAGGATATACACTTAAAGAAAGTGAACCAGAGCTGTGAAGACAGATGTTTATACTACTAAATAGAAATATTGATGAAATTACAAAATTTTCATCTAAAGACGTTTAGTACATACGAACTGTATTGTTTGTTAAGAAAATAGCGTTGTTTAAAATGACTGCTTAGTCAGGTAATTAAAACAAAAACAAATCTGAAAAGTTGATACGTCTATTTTACTCTATGTTGCATTGTCTGTTTCTACACATAGAAACAATTGTATTCGTATTTCTAACACAGGAAGGAACAATATCCAGTGAATTAACTAAGGTGTCAAGTCAGTCATGTAGTAAAGAACTTAGTGAACCAATTACGAAAGACTTGGACTGTAGAACAACAATAAATAACGAAAAATTATGTAAATCATCGGAAGAAGATTCAGCCAATGTGAACGTTGATGACGAACAACTGTACACTAATGGTGAAGGTGAAGTTTATGTGTCACCAAAAGAAGCTCTGAAAATGAAAGAATTTTACCTTTTATCCATAGTTTGTATCTGCTCATATTATCCATTCATATTTGTGAATGTTTTTTATAAGGTAAGTTTATGAACTTGATATTAGTTTATTTTCTCTAGGAATCCTTCGAAATTATGACCATGAAACGTTTTAACCCCTAAAACTACGCTGTACATAAAAAAATGAGCGTTTTTTTTTCAGTATAAACCATCTTGAGATACGGCATAGAACCAAAACCTTATGTATGAAAACACTGATATTGGTGTTCAAATCTAATAGAAAATAAGAAGAACTTATAGTTACAAACTAAGTAACAACAACAGAACTGTGTTGAGACACTCACTGTTTTCAGACATATGGACAGACGTTTATATCAGACGACACGTTTCTGTCCACCATTGGTTCTGTAGCTGGAGCTGTTCATGCACTCAGCCGAGTGATTGTGGGCTTAATTCAGGACAAATTATCATACAAGGTAAGAATGTGTAAAGTGTAGTGACTGAACTTGTTATTAATAATTATTAAAATATTATTTGGTGTGTAAAGTAAATACACAGGATAATAAGTAGAGTTTTGTTCCTGTATTGTTTTTAATTAGTGATTAAAGAATTATAAACTGACCAATTTTAATCGACCACTTCACTCATAAAGAAATCTTTCACACAAACAAGATTCATAAAATTCTTATAAGGTTTATTAAAACCCATCTTCTAGAACTACAGATAGATTAGTGGACTTAGAACTCTAAAATCAGGGGTACAGGTTCCCATCGGTGGACAAAAGGTAGATAAGTTGCTATGTTATAGTTTAGAGTAAAAAACAAAAATATCTAAACTTACTTGTTTCAACCAAATTTAGTTAGATAAGAACCTCGCATACTTCATCATTTATCAATTTTTAAGATTTTATGTACAAAAGTAAAAAATAACTTCCATTTTCAGCAATAAATTGTAGTAAAGATTTGTCTCTACAAGGATTCAAACTATCAACAATAAAGTTTAAAATGTTTTAAATTTTCTTCTAAGTTGTATGTAATTAGATGAAATAAAAGTTTAGAGTTAGAATTTTGCAAGTTATTTTTAATAAATCCCTTGATTAGTGGAAAATAATATTAGCTTTTCATTTTGATTTTCAGTCAGTAAAATTACTTAGAAATATTTATATATATAATTAAAGAAATTACCAATATATATCTAAATAATATATGTTATTCATTAGTTTCAAGTGAAATAATTCAATGTAATGCACAGAATGTGCAAATTGAAAGAAATTATGTAGTTATTGATAATTATTAAAATAGCATTTGGTATATAAATTGTATACAACCTTTATCACTCAGCGGTAAACTGGAGGATTGATAACGATAAAATTCGGATCTGGATCCATGCCGTGGGAACAACATATCCCGTTGTTTGCTTTGAACGTAAAGCGAAAATATATCTCTATAATAATACTCAAAGAAATGGAAACAGTAAAAATAGTTTTGAAAAAATTTAGAACCACTATTTGAGGTTATGTTTAAAAGAATCCAATGTAACGCACAGAAAATGATTATCCGAACAATTTCAGCTCACATATCTAACCAGTAGATTTGATAAGTACTTAGTGTAGTTTTTCTCACTGAAATAAAATGATATGCAAAGTAATATATACTTAACACAAAATTAGAATGATATGTACATGCTCTAAAAAACTATATCTGGGTTAAACATTATACATTTTTTTAACTTGTAGCTACCTGTTGTTTCATCTTTCTTGTATTTTCTTATACTATTTTTAACTTTATTCTGACTGAATTATAATATGTATAAATCTTTAGTTAACAAGTCTTCTCTTGCTGGGAATAAAGACGGTATTACTGTTCACTCTGGTGGCGACACCTTATGGAGGAGAAGTGATGTACATGATCTGGATTTGTGGGCTGTTTGCTACATTTCCTCTTATTTTTGTCTGTATTCCGGCTGCTGTTGCTGAAGTTTTTGGAACGAAATACACTGCTGAAATTTTTGGAATGGTGTTTTTTACATCAGTAAGTGTAGAGCAAGGATTACCAACAAGTTGAGAAAAACACCATAATATCAATATTTTTATAACTGAATTATAACTTAGCAGATATTCAAATAAATGTTTAGCTAAAGAAATAATTCATCTATATAGATGAATTTAAAGACCAACCTCTTAGTAAAAGTTTACTTACATGAAACAAATTTTATCTTCTTTTTTATCTTGCTACAATACATAAGATAATCCGTTCGAGTTTTAACTGATATTTCATGGCTTTTTATTCCAGACAGCTTCCTTCTTTCTTTGGCCTTTAGTTCTCCATCATGTTAGTTCTTCTTTAGGATGGTTTACTACGTTTTGTGCGGCAGCGACTGTTTCATTCATAGGTCAGAACAGCTCTTTTATGCCAAGAATAAAGTGTGTTTTGATTTTTTGTATTTCGATACCTTGTTTTCGCTTATTTTTCAAAATTTCTTTCACTAGTATATTTCTTTTATATATGTTATCAAATTATATAAAACCATGAAAATAAAACGACACTTTATTTCAAAACTTTGTTGTCAAAGCAGCGTAATATTGCCCATGGTGTACTTGTAAAAATCTCATACATATCTCTATTCGAAAAGAGAAAAATTACATATGTTTTAGCAGATTTTATTTTGAGGTTTCAACCGAGTTTGTTATCATGAAGAAAAATAAAAGTAAATAAATGTCTGACTCGCGATTCGACTGAACTAACTTAATTTTACAATGTTTAAACTCTCGAAATCTCAAACATTCAAGAGGAAGACAAACCTTTATGTTATTTGTATCTCAGCTGGAATAATGACCACTGGTATTGAGAGAAACGCGTCGTCGGTAATGCATATGTTGCACATAAGGTGGTTGAAATAACATTATACACTCTTCTTCTTGGATAAAGTCTAAATAAGCAAAGAAAAACAAAAGTAGTATTAAAAACTACGCTAAGCTTAATACTGTTGTCTTGTGACGAATATAATTTTCAAAATTAGTTTCAGTTAGTTAAGGGATTCATAAGCAGTGTCAGTATATGTTGACTATGAGATTTATTCAGTTTGATATACATTATTTCTATAATATGAATTATAATAAAATACTTTATGTACTAATCAAAATAAATTATGTGATTGTGTAACGATAAAGTTTTGTTTTGTTTTTTTTCTTTCGTAGGGATACTTGTGACTATAGTTTTTCCCTGAAACCCATCGTACAGAACAATCAGTATCAAGTAGTTTTGATGGAGACAAAGAACGGCCTCGTTACCGTGCTTTTGAATATCAGAAGTGAATCTCTTACGAGTTGTCACTTTTCAAATGTTTTAAACTGTGACTGTAACACAGCTTCCTCTTCCCGTGTGGTATTTACATAATAAAATATCGTGAAGTTTGTTCCTCTGTAGTTTCCCTGATGATGATTTCTGTAATCCTTAACGTATAGTAAGACAAAGTGTTGTTCATTACACATTTCACGAAAAGCAAATTAATATAGTATAATGCTATCGGATAATTTTTGACGGAATAATTCAAGCATGTTCTGATGTATTCATGTAATACGTTGGCACAATGAAGTGTAGATGTGTTTGTTTTATTAAAACTGGGTTTAGGGTTTCTACTTTTTGATGAGATGATTAGATGAAAATAAATGTTGAATAATAAGAATTTTACTGTACGCTCGCTGTTTCTCTTTTTAAACATCCCTATACATTATAATTTCATATTTTATACACATATGTATTATATCTCTTTATATATATTTCTGTAGATAGTTTGTGTGCGTGCATTATTATTCCTACGTGTGCACGATAAGTAAAAATCAGCAAAACATCAATGATATATATTTTCATATATTTTAGCAGCTGGTACAAACATTGGTATAAAAGAATTGAAAGTAAACGTTTCGAAAGTGTTTAACTTACTCTACTAATAACATGTTTTGCAAAGAAAGATCTTATCAAATCCTGGTTTGTCAAGTTTGTGGTAAGAAATATATAGAACAGAGGTCAGGTTCCTTGATAATAAAACTCGAAGAACAACAAGGTCACATAATTTAATTGAACAACCTTACTATCAATTTGTTTTCTCAGACATAATTTATTTTTATTATTAGCTATATGGACAAAAGTTCATGCTTCGGCCAGATCATTCAGCATTGAATTGGTTTGTAAATTTTCGCTATTCATAAAGCTAAACAGCAAGATTACTCATTAAATTTCAAAGAGTTTAACTAAGATTACACATCGACCTGGATGGAACATTGGAAATGCTGATGATTTTTCTCGAAAACCGTGTGTGAATAAAGAATGCAAACATTGTGAAAAGAGAAAACCACAAGATAATAAAAACAACCAACACCATCGTTACGTGGAATGGACTTGGAATTATACATTTCAAAATAATCCAAAACAACACACCCAACGACTAAAGAAGTTACAACACCTTCGGGCAAGAAAAACAATAATAATGCTGCGATATAGGAATATCAAAGGTGTTGGTACTGTATAACAAGATTAAAGATGGCGATGCTAAAGTGGAGAACAAAGATGACTATACTATATAGATAAAGGAACAACGATAGTGATGATGTTTTAGAAGGAAATCTAAAATAATTTTACTGTTTTGGCAGAACAAAGATTAAATTGATAAAATGGAACAGTAGGGATGGTAATGCTGCCTTTTCAGTTATTATCTTTTAACGAGATCTCAACGACACCTCTACACCTAATATATTTTATGTTAACGTCAGTATAACGTTTTTGTAACTTTCTTAGTTTTCATTCAAAAGGTTTTAGTGTATTTATCCACATTATTGAAAAAATATATATCTGTTAGTTTTAACATGGCAGTGACGTACTGGAGTCTTGTAGCTACCATCATCACATATGGAGTGGTTGATTCTTTGAGTTTTATCTGATGCTTTGGTCACCCAGTAGTTACTGCTATAGAAATGAATATAATTGTTTTGAAAACATCTCTTTATAGAAATATACATACGAAAAATATATGTTTCTGTTAACTGTGTCACCTTCACATCATTTAAAAAGTATCATTTAACTATTTTATTTCAACAACTAAATAACAGCGTATATAATATATATGTATATATATAAGTTTATGAAAAAATATAAAAAGCTGTTTTTGACATGAGGAAACTTTTTTAGTTCTTTAATCAAACTATTTGTACAAACGTTTATGGGAATGGTTTAGTTATTATTTCTCTTGGAATCCCGATACAGCTGTCACTAATGTGTAGATCCAGTTTCTTTTTCTACTTTTCTAATATTTTGTATAATTCCTGTACATCTATAATACACTAGATGTGTTTAATACTGGTTAAAGACGGCTTGAATGGGTAATGAAGAAAAACTTTAATATAAGTTTAACATAACAGCAAATGTACAACGTTTCGACAAGGTTTTTGTCATCATCAGATACAAGTAATTTACACTGACACAGATATATATATATATATACAGTATGGAACAAAGAGGTCACATGATGTGTTTGCTGATACAAATGCGACCTTTGTCACTAATGACCACACACGCTGCATAGTTCATATAATATACTATCAAGGTTATAAAATGATATAACATTTATCTTGTCTTTTTAAAAAGATACGTCACACAATAAATTACCAAATACTTTGACAGTGGTTTCCCAATAACAAAGACCTCGTGACAGGGATAGTGTCTTCAGGTTTAGCTGTAACTCCTCTCTTTATGAATAGTGTACAGACATTCTTTATGAATCCTAGTAATCTCCAACCTGATTCTGATGGGTAAGTTACAAGTTTCTGTAAAATTACGTGATGATTCTTGAAGTAAAACACAATATATTGCCTTCATCTTTAGTATACCTTATTTAACTTTTTCTTCAATAAATCATCCAAAATCCTTGCTTCTTTTTCTTTTATGGTACTTATTGTTCCAATGATAGAATGATGTTGCAAAGTATTTAATACATTTTCCGTCTTTAGTACCATACAAGAGCCACAATGTGTTCTATATTGTTATATATTAGATAAAAGATATTCCAATACCAGACAGTTAATTTAATCTTGGCAGTCCAGTATTGTATAATTCATACATAATTCAGTTTTGTTATTTGTAAATATCAAAGGCTATTGAGCTGTTAGCTTGTCAGTGGAATTTGCTCCTTGGATAAATTTGAAGAACACAGCCAAAATTCTAAAATGGACGATACTGTTACTTCTTTGTGTGTCTAAACAGTTACGCCATGCAGAAGTTAGATTAGGTATATTTTTTAGTAAGATATATTTGTAAAGTTATATTTATGAGACGAATATGTGGGTTCTAAATAGAAAACAGAAAGAAATAACGTAAAAGCAGGATATAATTTCCTTTTGTACCGTCAAGTATTGAGAATTTCATGAAGGTACATTTAGTTTTCTGTACTGTTATGTGAAGTGCAAGAAAAGATAAACTTGTTTTATTGGCTGTTAAGTTCAGTGACATGCACAATCTGTTCTTTATTGTCCGAGTTAAATTACTGTGAACAAACAGCTTGTTGTGTTCTGTAATACTAGACATTGTAAACATGATGGATTTATAAAATGTGAAAGAAAAGATATGTATTTTCTTGTCTTTTATCGTAAGAAATAACAAAATGAAATATTTTGTCAAGAACCTTTTTTTATTGTTATCACAGTTATCTAGAGATTTTGTCTCTTCTTAAAATCTTCAAAGGTAGGATACACGCACATTATTTTTGATAAATCTTGGATAAATTAGTTTTTCTCTACAGTATCCAAGAAGGTTTCATTGATAGGATCTGATAAATTTAATTGTGTTACTCTTTGATTAAACATCGACTGAACAATAAATTTATTTATTCTTGTTAATGCAGATCTCAAACATGATCATACACGTTCATAATGATTTAATATGTTACAAGAATGATGAGTTTCACTAAGATCACCGATTTCACATGCTTCACAATGTTTTTTCTTCAGTACTTGTAAAATAGGCTACACTTGTTCAGCGTATATGATAATAATAATTTATTCCATCTGATTATACAATTTATTTTCATTATGAACTATACTATTTAAGTAATTAAACAAAGGAGAAATCTGTGCATATAAATATTTCTCCAATTCTGAATTTGATAAACCAAAGAGAACATTATCAGATGTTATATCAATATCATGATAATCAAATCGATATGTAAACAAAATATAGGGGATTATATTAACACTGACGACACGAATTACTCGATTCCATCCTTGTAGGATAAAATTTTGTTCTGTTATGCTCTGCAGCTAAACTAATATATATGGCATCCATTGTTTAAATTTCTCCATTCTGTTGACGAAAATGTGATAACTTCCTTGATTGGATATATTTTTCCTTTTGCAAAGTATTAAAAATGAAATATATTAGTGTGCATCTCTAGGATAGACGGAGAAGTGTAATAACTCATCTTTCAATTACACACTTGTTACTTAATATAACTATTATTTCTATCATGTATAGAATAATAATAATACACATTAGCTACGTAAATTCTATGTTTAATATAGACTGACAGTATAACGACTTTTTTGTGTTACATCCCAGGGATCAGTGTTTGGTTGGAGCCTCGAGGCCTCTCTTTGGTAAATTTTGAATAAAGTCGTCTTTCTCTACAGTATGCCAAAACGTTTCATTATTTTTGAAACGAGACCCAAAATTCGAGCGCTTTCACTATTCTTCTTCATTATTCATAACCCATAATTCTCCAGAAGAAGAATATTGAACTATTCGAAAGCGCTCGAGTTTTGGGTTTCGTTTGAAAACCATTACCACTTTACTATGTGATCCTGTGTGCTAACTTCTTAGCCAGAAACGTCTCTACCTCTTCCACTATTGCCTGAGGTCGACACACGTGTGTCCCCCTCTGGCGGCGTGCCATGGAACAATCGGGATAACTACTCCCGGTAAACGTTAGCAATCTGCACTAATCTCGGTTAGGTTAAAACATCTACAGCATATATTTAGAAATGTTTTACTAGCTGGTACAATCATTACTATAAAATAATTCAAAGTAAAGGATTCGAAAGTGTATAACGCACTCTACTAATAACATGTTTTGCAAAGAAAGTTTTAGCAAATCCTGGTTTGTCAGAACGTTAAAGATCCTGAGCCAAAATATGTGATACATTATAAACATAGTGATGATCAAACCTTTTAATTTATTTTTTGTAATTCTCATTTAAAACGAAATTATTGCTGTTCGACGATATCATCGAAAACAAAATATCTTAGGATACTGTGTGTTAAAAATGTTTATTTATTATAAAATATCTTAGTATACTGTGTGTTAAAAATGTTTATTTATTATAAAATATCTTAGTATACTGTGTACTAAAAATGTTTATTTATTATAAAATATCTTAGGATACTGTGTGCTAAAAATGTTTATTTATTATAAAATATCTTAGGATACTGTGTACTAAAAATGTTTATTTATTATAAAATATCTTAGGATACTGTGTGCTAAAAATGTTTATTCACACATATATATATGTGTGTGTTTTCTACTCTATAAACAAATATTCAAAAGTTACTGTTAGATAAATCATTACACTAACATACCAATTACACACTATGTATTTTTAGGAATTTGTATGCCGTAACTTTGTTCAACAGAATATAAAACTAGATT